ATGGTTCAACGATTCGCAAGAGCATGCTAGCGCTCTGGTGGACTCTTTACAAGCTTGTGTAATGCTTCAGTACAATAACCGATAACACAGAGATTAACAACATGCATAGTTGTCTTTATACTGAACTGAGGGCTTTGCCTGGATGGCGTCTAAAACAAGTATGCAGGCTATACCTTTCTGACCCGGATTCAGAACCCAGAAACGGTTGATTTTGGTATCATTTGTTAATCATTTGGCTTTTCGAGGTGCGCACATGCGTATTTGCGATGCTAAAGAATGTAAGACTGGAAGGTGGACTATATGAATGATCATTAAAGTCAAAATTGATAGAGTTAAGCTACTGATGATCTTTATTTTCCTTAAAATCAGTGTAAAATCTAAGTAGCATAATTTCGGTGACAGAGAGCATAATTTTCAGAAAGTAGCATAATTTTGGCATAATTTCTAAAAAATATGAGCACTGCTAAAAGCATAATATGCTTTTTTTTCGAGCACAATCTACCAAAGCCTAGTCTCATTCAAAATGGTTGGGACACTTTGGGGTCTCCTTGTCCCCTCAATGGTGGTGTACAAGATTTGGTGACCGAACCGCGATAAACAACTTTGAGAGGGACGAGGTGAGCACGAGAAGGGAAAAAACAGCGTTTGGCTAAAGTGTCCCAACTATTTTTGTCTGAGACTGTAGAAAGTGTGAGAGTAAACATTGGTATGCCTGTGGTGTACACGGACGGTCGGTCGTTCGGTCGGTCGCTCGGTCGGTCGGTCGGTCAAGTGATTACCAAATTTTCTGGGATGGGTAGATTTATTTATCCATGGTGCTCCGCTAAAATCTTATTAAATTGGGTTAATGATGAAATCTCATGATCAGTATCTCTTGGCAGTCCTTGGAAAAGTATAAAATTGTACTCCTGAGGAAGTAAAAACAATTTCATCAATTCAATGTTCTTTCTTGAGTAATGATGACATTTGTGGTGCTCGCGATATTCAAAGTTGTGTAAGCCAGCCGTCAGTCTGCCTGTAGCATCTCTAGACCGCGTTGTAACTCACCTTTTGGTTAAAGTTGGTGCTAGAGGCACCAAAACTCCAGCCTCGCACAGACTTCAACATTTTTCTGAGTACAAACTAATACTGAATCGAACTGGAAGGTGGGGTGTCGTGAATGTAGAAATCAAGAAGATGACGATTTGTCCGCGTCACCTCCGTAAATTCACACGTTTACGAGAGCTAACTGGACAATGTCAACACCCCCTTCATAAAGGTGAAATTTCCAAGTTGAAAAAACCCTAGAAGGTGACTGCAGACATTTCAGAGAGAATATACCAACAAACGGGGATCGTGATGCCAATCGCTGCCCGTAAGTAATGCTGAACTTTTCTTGTTTGTCGTGAGTTATTTTGGGATAGCCTTGTAATGAACAACGTCTAATTCTATATTCAAGAATTTAAGTACCATTGACCATGGAATAAGCCTGAAATATAACGATAGGCTATCTGATAAAGTGTTCGTTTTTCTTTTTTTCCAAAGCCATTTGCATGACCTTCTTTGACAAAAAAATTCCAGAACTTCATTTAACTTCCGAAAGTGTAACTTCCAACGATCTAGAGATAATGTAAATATTATAATCGCACGTGTTCAATCTCAAACATACTGCAGTTGTCTTTCAGAGTGAAAATATCCTCAGCGCTGTTGTCCTTAACCTCAAATACGAATAATTAGTGATCCGAATAATAGCGACTACTCTGTCTTGAATGTGCATGGCTTGATTGTTTAGTTGAAACAATCGACGAGAAGTTAAATGACAAGAACGTCCCCTTGACAGAAGAAAGTAGGGCTAGATCTGAGTTTTTTGCGTAATCAATATGAAATACCCATATCACCAAATCTTCCCTACGTTCTGATAACGCCAGTGGTTATCACAACACTGAACTTCTCTTGAGTCTTTTGCTCTTGCACTAGACGAGTACATCTGTACCCACCGATCCAAGAGCTGCAAATACTGTCATGACAGGTGTTGAACATTGTTAATAAAATTACTTAAACACGTTAACAGTCACCCTATTACGTATAGTGAATGCTGAGTTTTAATGGAAAAAAGCAAAGAAAATATGTCCAGAATTCTTGTTGAATTTGACTGGCATTCATGAAGAACGAAAACAGTGTTGAGCTAAAAGGCTAAATAACAGCGACTTTTTACCGTCATGAGTTTTCAAAATTCGTTTGCTCGATCAGCTTTCACCAGGCTTGCAAAGGGTGAGTTTTTTTGAAATACGTGATGCAATGTGAGAGAATATCTATATTTAACCAACTTTACATTTAAGTGCAATTATAAATATATGCAGATGAAAGGGCTCCAAACAGAATTTGAGAATATAAAAATGTCATACTTGACCATCCTCTCGTGTGATCTGCTGGACCGGAAGTGACTTTGTGTGCATCTCCAGAGGTGCATATTCATATCTTGGCACTTTTAGCGTTCAGGTGGAATTAGAAAGTAAAAGTACTACAAACAGTATTATTTACGGTAAGTTATTGGAAAGTTTTTAGCTAATATACACCATATGAGCTTAATTATAAGGGGAAAATTACTACACCAGAAGTGGCTGTATTAGCATCTTCAAAGCGAGGCCGCACAGTGAAAAAGCCTTAACCTTAGTACTTTCCCCTTGTTTTTTACATACCTTAGGGCTAAACTTTCTGCTGACGTCCGAATTGTGTTATTTAAAAGTGGACACTAAAGTAAATCCGACTTAAACTTGGGCTATTTTCAGTTTCACTAAAAAATGCCTTTTGGAGCATAAACTTAACAATAATTTCATAAACCAGAGAAATATTTCTTTGAGCCATATGTTTTGTCATAAAACCCTTAAGGATAGAGCTAATAAAAAATGAGTTTATATTTGGCTTAAAATATCCCTGACATTGTAATCAAAGTATTGAAAAGTGCCCAAAATGGGCTATAAAAAAGCATTGGGGGACATCAAAAAGGGTAATATCTAGAACTCAGCCCAAATAAAAGCAATGGAGCTGAAACTTTGGCATATTGCATAAGTCTCCATAGTAACTGAGTAGGGTGCCTGTAATCCCCAAAGGTTACACTCAGTCCGAGAGCGGGTTTCTCCTTAGCAACCGGTTTTGGGCGGTACTAACTGGTCCGTTTTCACTAATTGATGGCAAAAACGAAAGGTATTTAAAGGAATGGCGCTTTACTATAGTATATAAACGCGATTGAGATTTTGTGTGACGTGTTTATTGAGCAAAATTTACAAATGAATAAATTGCTAAAAAAAAAAAAAGACAAAATTGATCAAACTAAATTAAAAAATAATTACATCGGATGCTATTCGTGGTATCAGACAAGACAAAAAATTGGTCAAAAGTGGACCCAAGGTCAAGCCAAATAATGAGCGAGGCTAAGCCAAAACCAGTTATTGACGCCGAATTTCAGACTAAATTTATGGATTCTTTTATAACTAATGAGAGGCATTTTGAGCAGTATGAACCTAAAACACGAAAAAAGTGGCAAATAGAAAGTGGTCTGAACCGGGTGAAACCAGCTGAGCCAGAACCGGAAATCGATCCAGATATAGAATATTTTGACAAACAGGATGAACTGGAACATGAACGGGATAATTATTTCGAGCAAAAAGATTATTTTGACAAACAGGATGAACTGGAACGAGAACGGGATAATTATTTCGAGGAAAAAGATTATTTTGACAAACAGGATGAACTGGAACGGATACGGAATAATTATTTCGAGGAAAAGAATTACTTTGATTAACAAGATGAACTGGAACGGATACGGGATAATTATTACGTAAAAAATGACTAATAAAATAATAATAATAATAATAATAATAATAATGGTAATTAAGTTAGGTAGTTTATTGCAAGCAGTCAAAACCGGTTTTAGTTAGTAAGCAAATAATAAGTCAAATATGAATTCTTTAGTTAGCAAATAATTGTTGCATCAATTCGGGAGGGATATCTAGTAATTCAGCTGGGTTAATTTCATTCAAAATTTCGGGAGAAACTTTAATACTAGGTTGTGGAATATTTCGGTTACCTGTTTTTGGAATATTTTGATAGGTCAATCTTGGTTTGTCAGATTTTTCAGGCATTGCAAGTGTTGCCAATTGTTTCAAGGAATAAGGATTATAAACTGGGTTAGTTACTGGAATATTTGCACGGCGCCGCACGCCAGCAGTACTCTTCTTTGTTCCCCTCTTGGTCATTAATAAGGAAATAAATAATGGTACGCAACAATCAACTCTATAATCTGGTCCCTTTTCATGTGCGTAACAGCAAATGTATCAGCTTTCATCTTTATTATTTCTTTCTTGAGTTCCTTCAAGGTGAATGTTTTGAGGTTATTGCGCAGTTGCATTTGTTGGATTTATTTTTGTCTCGCCTGTTCTTCCAACTAATATTTAATAATTTGGGCTGCTTCTATAGTATTCATATAATAATTAAATGGATAAATATTATCATACAGGCCAATAAAAATGGTAAATACGACAGATTAAAGTAGTTTGGGGCTGAGGTGCCGTTTCAGCAGCCTAGGTCTGGCGCCCCGTTTTGGCACCCCAACAAAGCTGTCTTATTTGTTGACCCTTGTTTCGACGGGGCAATAATCTGGGTTGATGCCCCATTTTGTTTTGCTATAACCAAGGATCTTAGCAATATCCTACTCTTTCTCCTCCTCCTCTTCCGTTTCAAAGATTGCTTCCAGGACCCCGGTTAATGACGTTTCAGCTGTTTCCAGTTTTTTGAAGATTAATTTCTTGTGGTACAACGTGGCAATCTCTTCCGCCAATTTTTCGATTTTAGTGTCAAGTGCATTAAGCTCGCTTTCCTTACTACGGATTTTAGTATCCAACTTTCTTGTATGACCGTCCATCATACTATTAGTTAGATAAATCTTGTAAGCTGCTCAGCGGAATCCTAGAATTAAAATCGTTATTATAACCCAACCATTTTACCAGAGCTTGTTTCTTCTTCTAATCCCTCCGAATAACTTTTTGAATGCGGAATACATTTTGTTTTGCCTTCAGTAATTCAGGCTCATAAAAGCTGCCTTGTATTTCCTCGTGGTTGAGGTCCTTTAACCTATAGGTAATTGGATTTGTGGATTGGATTTTGTCAACCATGATTATCTCTTCAGTCCAATTAGGTGTGTAGCCTTTATCAAACACCTTTCTCTTATATTTGCTTATCCTAACTTTATCACCAACCTTGAATTTGGGCTTTGATGACAATTGCTTCATATCGGCATATAGATTGAAATACACGGTACTTTCATTCTTCTTTGTACTAGCTTCTGTTGGTGTCATTTTAATGGAACTGTGTTTGGTGTTATTATACTGGGTCAGTATTTTTGGTAGTGTATCTAAATATATGGTATTACCCTGGACAGCAAACTGCTTCCACATTTTGGTTTTAGTAGTACCGTTCCATCTTTCACAAACACTAGATTTTTCCTCATTTTCGGTTGAGTATAGTGTTATGCCATTCTTTTCCAAGAGCTCCTTCATATTTTTGTTTTAATACTCTTTCCCTTTATCAGTCCAAAGATATTGTGGCTTACGGCCCTCTTTGAAGATGGTTTTAAACGCTTCTGTGACAGTTTCTCCTTTTTTATCCTTCAATGGGACAACCCAGCCATATTTGGCCAACAGATCTAATACCATCAGAAGATATCTGTAACCCTTATTCCATTTGCTGAACTATTGCATTTCAACCAGATCTGAGCACCAAATCTTGTCAATACCGGTTGTAATAACGCCCCACCGAGTAAAGTTGCGCCTTACGGGTTTATGTAATTCGTCCGCTAATTGTTGTTGCCAGCTGATACCCAACGGCTTTTTCAGTTTAAACCGAGTCCGAGTTTCTGTTTTGTGTTTATTACATTTCTAGCTAACCAGTGGCCCCATTGTCTTTCATTATAAGGAACGGCGTCCAACGATTTTACCATTTTTCTATCCGCTTTATTTTTGCACTTTCGGTTATCTCCACAGACACTATAATCAACATCGTGCTGCATCGCTATAACATCTGTCGGCCCAGTTGGTGGATCATAAATTACTAATATTTCACCAGTTTCTGGATTGTACCTTACTTGGTTTTCTAAATCATTATAAGGCCCTGTATATTTATGCCCTGGTAAAGTCCATCCGGCTGCTGGTTTTGGTAATTTTCCAATGGCCTTGTGGATATCTGTTGCACCTCCATCAAGATCTTTTCTGTTTGTTTTATAGTCTTTCTTTGGTTGTATTTTGGTTGATAATTGGTCAAGAGCTTGAGAACCAACATTCTGAATCATCGAACTCAATTTATCCAAAGCATAGTCGATGGCTTTTTTCTGTAATTTAGGGTTTCTGAGCGCCTCCGAACCGTAACATCTTCCCATCTTAACTGCTTTTTTACCCATCCAAGGAAACCCATGATGTACAAATAGATCAGTAGCGGTTCCTACAGCGGTGTCAAACAAATCACCCCCTGCTTGAGAGGGCCCAATTAGTTTCCCTTCCTTACAAATTTGAACTTTTTAATTCCGCATTCCGCGCAAGTGCACCAAAACATAAGTCTACCATTTTTGGCTCTTTTATAGCCCGAAGGCTCTGTACATTCTGTTTGTCTGTTCTGTTTAACACAATAAGATTTCACCATTTATGTATACAATATGTTATATAAAAATGGGGTGATAAAGACGGTCTCAGATCAAGCCGTTGTTTCGACAGGTTGCCTAGAGAGGTGTTTTATCTTGTATTTGTCTTCTAATTACTGAATAGGAGTAATAAATATTGTTTAATCACTATCACTACTGTCTGGAACATAGGTTGTCTCATAGCTGCTATCCGACTTCATACTCACTCTCACTGAAGGGCTCACAGTTGCAGCGCTCAAAACATCCATACTGATTTACATAACGCGGAGTAACTTCTTGGCAATAAACAGAACTTTTCAGACATTCTGTATATATGGATTACATCAATTTAAAATAGTTTATCAAAAAATTTGTGATTTATCATTTGATCTGTAAAACTGAATTTGGTATTATGTATGACGTCTAATAATGATCTACCTTTTTGTCTCTCCAAAAGATAATATAAGCACCAATAACCGCACAAAACACTTTCTCTTTCTTGTATTTCATCTGATGAATACACCATTTTTTTACCGCTTGTTATCAGATAATTTTTGATTTCATTGGGCATGATTAATCCGAACGGATCAAAATACTCGCATAATTGTTTATCCACATTTCTGTAACAAACCCAATGACTACCCCGGCCTACTGAATCGTCAAGATTAATTATTCCTGTTTCCAATTTGTGTAGTTTTCCAGTACATTATCGCGGCTGTAAATACCTCTGGAATATTTTATTCCAAGTTGTTTGACCCAGTGTAACAAATCAATATTTGACAAAGGTTTGTTGATGAATCTTATAGTATTGTTCCTAGAATTGGGATTGAATGGACTGTTTTTGCTGAGCAGCAATCCCTCTCCTCTTCTTTTTTTTTAATTCCAATACCAACTGTGTGGTTCCATGTTCCAAAAAACGGTGGTAACATATAAGGATACGGATTAATCATTCCGTGGCCATTAGTTGTATTATTGGGAACGTATAGTGACATTGTATTAAAGGTACCGGTTCTGTCGGCTTGGAGACCCTTTCCTGTCAATGCATTAAGCAACAGAGGGGCTCCTATACTTGCTAGTAGCGTTCCTGAAAACCCACCCTGCTGTGTTCTCGTCGGTTTGATAACTAATTGACCGCCTGATTGGAGATGATTGAGAATATCATTTTTCTGACCTACGGACAGTAAATGCTTGTATTTGATCAATTGTGCTATTTTATCTTGTGGAATAAGAAAACCTCCCTGTCGTCCCTTTCCGAACATTTTATCCACACGTAGACTGGTTAAGCCGGATAACACACCTGTTGCAAGCGGTGCAATAGCTTTTTTAGCCAGTGGCATAGCCATGGGTAACAACTTACTTCCTAAACTGATTAATGATCCCCACAAACTACCACCATGTGTTATAGCTTTTCTTATTTGTGTTTTCGATATTTTGATATCCGACCCTGTACCCTGACTCATTGCTTTTTTCAATTTATAGATCTGAGTTTTTGTGAGCATTAATTCATGTGGACCGGATAATTCATTTCTGGCAAGTTTGATTGTTATTGCTGAATTATTATTGTAAGCTCGCGAAAGCTTTTCCAATTGTCCTTTGCTGAGTGACACACCATAAGAATAATATTTTGTCATTACTTTTATATGATATAAGTTATATAACTTTAACCATATTGAATTGATGATCTGAGTATTATTTTGCCATCCTTCTGGATTTAATTCAACATCTTGCTCATACAGAGTCAATGCGTAAATTGAGTAGGCTGTTGCCGTTGTTCCAGATAGCTTATATTTAAATGTCAGTTTTGTGGTGCCATCCTTAATGTCCATTTTTTGTTTTGTTAAATCAAAATATAAAAAGGGAAACAGGGTACTAAAATTAGATTTATTGAGTAATGAACCTTGATCGTATTCATTATTTTTGTGAAGATCTTTCAAAACGTCCCTGTAAACACGGGTCATATCAGTAGCTGGTGTGTAATGAATCTCGGGGTATTCGTTTCCATTTCCAACTTTCAGATGACAATTGGATAAGGTCCTTGGGTCAGTTGAGAAAGAGAATGTATTATACAAGAACGGATTAGCCGTCTGGGCATCAATGTTTACATCATTGATTATAAATACAAAAAAGTGTCTGGGCTTTGAGATACCGGTTGAGATTCTGAAATGCCCAGCTCTCTGCCGGCTGCTATTTGATCTTTCAATTTTTTCTCTCAAATAAGTCCGCTTGTGCGTTTTAAGATATTGGTTCATATAGGATGATTGGCCTTCACTGTTAAATGTTATCCGCGGAACATACAATTGTATTCTGGTGATAACCACCCTACAATTAGCTCCGGCTTGCCAAATTAGATTATCATCTGTCTCAATTTCAAAATTCATTTCAACCCTTGTGTTGGGTAACAGCTCATCTTCTAACAGTTCGAAGAATGAGTATCGGTTCAAAGGTATTTCAGTGTTAATTGTGGATGAGGTACCCAGAAGTGGTTTCCGAAGGGCAAAACCTTTATTGTAGGCTGCTCGTCTTTTGGCTAACTGATTTGTACCACTAACTTCAAATTCCCGCTCTTCCGCTGATCTGGATGTATGGAGATAAAAAAAACTCATTACTCGCTGTTTTTTCGCGTAAGATGGACTGTAGTCAAGTAAGTTTTTAATATTGACAGCATGATTTGCATCATTACAATCGTACACCTTTTTACCATTGAGCTTAATATCAAACTGTTTCAAAAATGAGTAAGACCCATTTACAATACCATTATGATCTGCTAATGCAATGTTACCACCATTAGCCAGCAAATTTACTTTGAAATCAAGACTGATTCGAGCATTGTACCAATCAAATGGTGTAACCTCTCCGCTGTTATCAATAACAAATCTATAACCATCTTTTTTCTTATTAGCATTATTGGCGACAGTTGTATTTAACGCTGTTTCTAGGTCAAAAATAACATCTTCCTATCTTTCCACATATTTTGGGTCCTAAAAGATTTCATGTACTAATAGATTAGATAAATCTTCCCATCCGGCCTCCGGGTAATAATTGATGTACTCTTTCATTGATCTCAAAATCGATTAATTCTCTTGTTTGTGGATTTTCTATTGGCGATGCCGCTATTGGTGTTTTTGTGTTTTATTCTTTTTGCTTAATAACTGAATAATTTTATCGCCGGCCTTCTCGCCCACGTATTCACCAGTCTTAGTAGCAGCAGTCTGAACTTCTTTTTTGGTTGCTGTTTTAGCAGCTTCTTTTACCGTCTTACCAAACAACTTTCTACCAATCGTTTTGAAAACATCGGTAACACCTTCTCCATAAATATGCTTCTTAACATATCTTCCCATTTTAACATCGTAACGTCTCTTGAATTCTGATTGTTTCATTTATATTATTAGGTTATATTATACTGGTTTAGAACGCAATATTAAGGACATAAACCAATCAATCTTATTTAACCCAATTGGTCGTCCTAGTGAATCTGTAATGTATAATCTCATTTGACTAATATTTAGTTGCGAAACTTCATTAAACAATAGTCTTCTGGGTTCAAATGTGAATGGAAAACTTCTCGTCAAATTATCAGTTGCGATAACGGCTAGCGTATTTGTGTTAACACCGTTCAAAATGCTGTTTGTAATTAATGGAATTTGTGACATTGGGAAGATTACCATCTCCATATTCTGTTTTTGTTCACAATTTTCTCTATAAATCCAATTAACTCGCCAAATTTACTGTTTCTAAGATCCAGTTGGTAATTGTTGTCGAATCTGAATGTGAATCTTGTATGTTGACAATACGAATGTTAGGTTTATGTAATACGCATCATCTTTTTTTGCATCAATAGTTTTATGGCCCTTCTTTTTCCCTTCTTCTTTTTTCATGTACTTATGAAGATAATCATTTAGGTCTGATTAAGTGTTTCCCATGAATTTCCTCCACCAGGTGAGTATTTTATATTATTATTTTTATACTGATCTGAAATATTGTGCCAACTGTAAGTCATACTAACCTTGTCCAATGCCAATTCATGTGTCATACTACTCTGGAGTTTTAAAACTGGATCGAATTCGATTATAAAATTCTCTGCTTTATTTTTCCGATTTTCTTTCTATCAACAGATGAAATATGGATAGCTCTTTATTGCATTATATTATTAGGTTATATTATTAGATTATATGTTATTGGAGTATATATTCTTTCAACAGATTATTAAGCTGGTTGTTATTTAGAACGCCTAATTTGTTCAGTGTATGGGCAATCTTGGAAAATTCACTTTTGACACCATTATTTCAAGCCAGTATTGATCCGCCTAACAATTCCAGTCTGTCCAAAAGGTCGGCTGCATTATTATAATAAACAACACTCGAGCCGATTTTTTTGTATTTATTACTTGTTCGGTGAATTGGAATATCACTTATTCTGTTGAATTCATCAAATACCATTTTTGATAATGGCGAATACTTCTTTTTGCTGTTGAATCTCTTTGTGAGCAGATCATGTGTATCAAAGTCCACTTGCTTTTCATATACCTTTTTACCATCCTTATGAGCAATAAGTTTGAGTTGTCCATAAAGTTTGGGCACATCAATGTTTACATTTCCATAAACACCGGTTTGTGGGTTAATCTTATAAGCGTTTCTCTTTTTTTGTGTGTAAATACCCTTCCCAACTTTCAATGTTTTTGTACCTTCAACTAAAATGCCAATTCTTTCCCGGTATTTTCTTATGGTCTCAATTCCTTCATCATACTCAGCAATTTCATCCTTATTTCTCTTACTGGCAGTTTTTGTTGTGCTTAAATGGGCTTTTTTCCGGCCTAATCCTTTATTTATTTCACCAGATTTAGCTAATATTTGTTTCGCATAATTGGGCTCTTTTAAGGTTTGCAAAAAATGTCAGCTGGTAATGGCAGTTGCTGGTTTTGTATGAATGCCAATTCTTCTTGAGTGAATCCTTTATTCATATCAGCTACCATCTTGGGTGCCTCACCGCTTGGCCTGGTAATGCTAATCTTTGAACTTGCTCAGCGTACGGGACAACTTGTTTTGAAACATCTTCTCTGAATTTACTGATCTCCTCTATCTCCTTATCAAAAGTTTCGGTTAGAGGTTTCAACCCACCTTTTCAAATGCATCCTGTTCATTAGTTCGAACTTCTTTTATAACAGCCCCAACAACTTCAGTCATTTTTCCTACTGCAATTTTAGGGATACTAAGTCTCTCGAATCTTTCAATATCCATTATACTGGTAAGTGATTAGCCTCGTACCCAGGCCTGTTCGCGCTATCCGAGTGACCAGAGGAGGCTTGGAACCGAGCGCGATAGCGCGAGGCCTGGCAAAAAATGGCAAAAAAGTCCCAGATCGACGAGAAAAAGTCCCAGATAATTTCTCGACGAAAATCCTTTGTTTTCTGCGACGATCACGGAATATTTCGGACTCATGAGATTAATACATCTCTTCCGAGCATCTTTGGACCGTTTCAACTGATAGCAACGAAATGTGGCGGGCATGTTTTCCCAAAAACACTGGTAAATTAAGCATATTGTTTACAGTCTTGTTCGCTACACGAAGCTAGAAAAAAGTTTCTTCGTAGTTGGGCATGGGACGATCACTGTACACTGTATGTACACTAGTATCAAAGGCTTCATTTTCATTGAAAAAAATGGGCGTTGATTTCCTAGTTACAGGGCTATAGTGGGCTTATTTTGCCTTTGTTGTTCGAATCGTTGGTAGGAAAATATCACAAGAATCATTTACACGGTTTCGCGCGAAAAGCCAAAAAAAAAAACACTACATGGCATTTTCAGCTGTTTGAATATGCTTTTTGCTCTTTATAATAACCTATTACCTTGAACTTGTACCTTGCAGCTCCCAGTTCATGCAGAACATTCTAATAGTCTATTTTAAAATAGCACCAGTAACTCATGTAATATTCGGGTGTCTTAGTTTTACCTGATTTTTAATGATATGACTATCATTCAGTCCTTTATATGATTGCGACTTAGAGCGATTTTACCTGACCCATGAAACATTCAATAACAACTAGTGCAAAATATAGCTAAAATATAGCTAAAATAAACAAAAGAAGACAATAGAATTAGTGCATAATAGTGCTTAGAATTCTACTTCCTGTTTCACGCGTTAAGTAAAATCACTCTGAAGGAGGTTGCAATTTTAGAGATGGGAAAATTTTGGATAGTTGACACTTAATCTTAATTTACCTGCCTGACAGGCATAATTTCTGAGCAGGGTATTGTACATCAAATGTTTAGTTTTTTATTATATATTGTCTATTTTTTACCTTCCTTTACATTAATTTTCAGAAAGTTTTAAAGGGGATGAAAGGAGAGCACGTAATAGACGACACTGGGGATGCAAAGGATACAGGAGCAAAAGGAAAATGTAATTCAGCTGAAGAAAACTTGAAATGAAAATAAAAATATGAAACTGTGATGTTTAATATTGAATCTCTTAGATTTCATCAAACAAAACTTTATTGATTTTATAAGGAAATTAGATTGATTTCCTAACAAGCCATAGTTCTGAACACTTGTGAAATTTGTTAAGAGAAATTTTTTAAACGTGATAACAACTACTTCTTGTCTTGTAAAGCTTGTTATGGGAATGGGTTGGGGAAACAACTTCAAGACCAACTTAAGACCTTTTTCCACTTAATTTGATGCCATAATGGTACCATTGGCTGGGCCAGCTACATGCCATTTTCAACTGTTAGAATATGCTTTTTGCTCTTTATAATACCCTAGTGCCTGGAACTTGTATCTTGCAGCTCCCAGTTTATGCAGAACATTCTAATATTAGGGCCATTTATACGAGGAAATATAAGACGCGTCTTACATAAGACGCGTCTTAAATAAGACGCGAACTGTACCATTTATACGAGCATGTCTAGACGAAATGTGCCGTTTATACGGAAAGTTCGTGTCTTATTTAAGACGCGTCTTATGTAAGACGCGTCTTATTTTTCCTCGTATAAATGGCCCTATTGTCTATTTTGAAAATAGCACCAAAAACTCATGTAATATTCTTTCTAAACTTATGACTCACTGGAAGACCACTGCTGCGAAAGTGGTTGGAGATAAAAAAAAGAAAACAGAAAAAAAAAAGGAAAGCACTTAATTTGAGTGTCAATGTATTCAATGTATTCAATGTATATACCAACAACAATAGAATCAGACATTGATAGAATCAGAAAGAAAGCTTGGCTGAAAGATTTCAACAGTCCCCAAAGGATCATCTCATTTAAATGGTGGGTAGATACACTGGTTGAAGATAACTTGGATATAGAATTAAATTTTATTCATGCTAAATGCTATAAAAGCATGGACACAAAGTGTTTTACATCTGATGCCGTTTCAGGATATTTGAACGCTCCTGATGTTACTCAGTATGTTGTAAACTGCCCCTATAGCTTGTATCTGCCACATTGAGGCGTATTCAAAAGGCTTACAGCACTTTATGACTTCTGTTTTGTATATTTAATAGCCAAAAGCAGCGTCTATGAGTTGATCCACTATCGTTTAGGACGACACCTAGGCTAGAAGTCTCTCTTGAATTGCAATGCGCGCAGTGCTGCGATTCGATTAACAAGTTTTTCATCCGCTAGATAATATGCTGAGTACAGAGCTAATTCGATGACACATCTTTCACGAACTTCAACATGGTTTAACTCATTCCCGACAGGCAATGAAACACACTCCTGAGATGGGACGATTTGTTGGGCTGAATTAAATCCATATTTTTTGATACAATCAAAACTCGAAATTACTGACCTACGATAATAACAGGTGTACACGCGGAAGGATTCCTTGAAAGAAATTTCTCCAACATCTCTATGTATTTGATGGCAAACGTTGATTAAAGAATCCCAACCTATTTCCGACGCTTTTTCTCATTTCTTCAAGAATCTTGGCTGAAGTCGCATTCTTGGCTTGACGCCGCCATTTTGGATTTGCCATTATTTGCCAGGCGTCCTAGGCGAATTTTCCCGACAAGTTTGACAGGTGACGTCACATCCGAAATCGCCGAGGACGACTGGGAACGAGGCTGGTAAGTGATAAAAAACTTATCTTAACTTAGCTTAACTTGTCTAACATAATAGTGTAATGGAGACTTTATAAATACATGCCCAAATCCAATTTTAGGATGTTAAGAGGCAGTCTCCCTAAAAGCGTTCCACTCGATTTTGGACTCGAAAAAACTTTTGCCTCATATTTTTATCATCAACACTACTATCCATCCTAATAACGAAACTGCAGTTAGAATGAGGAAATTGTTTATTTTACTGCCATTCCCACCATTTCATTGCTGGACGACCGTTAGCGGCTAAAATATGCAAATTTTAGATGCCGTTTTACAGGTTTTTTAACGATCGTTTAAAAGTATTTCGGGTTATCAAATCCTAGACTATTGCACTCATTTGGAAGCATATTACTTCTTCTTACTGTTCCAATACCATTTAGGCATTATCTTTCTGTAATCAGCAAAAACTGGTCGTCTTTATTTCACTAACCCAATTAAGAAAGCAAGATGCACGAATAAATGCCTCAAAAACATCTCAAAATTCTCAAAAGTGGCACCTAAACTAGACCTAAAAACATGTTTTAGTTAAAGATTAATAGCTATTTTGTCAAGTTATGCAATAAAACTTGTGGCACAACGCGATTCAGAATTGAAGGATTCGACTTAAATTTGCATATTGATGCTGAATTCGCATTGCGTGACACGGGCCTTTGTGACAGTAAAAAAATTCTTCGTGATGCTACAAATGATAATTTTTCTTTTTTTTTTTTTACTTTATCAACAAGAAAAATCGTAAATAGGTTAAGCTTATAGAAGATTAAGTTTACTTTTCCACTGACCTTCGTATTAATAGTCTCAGCCGGCCGTCCTTTGTTCGACTCCCAGTAGTTGGCCTTCTTATTAGTAGAGTGGGTCAGGAAAAATACGCATTTCTCCCTACCCCACCCCTTCGCCCTTTTCTTACTGGCATCCCTCGGAGGGTCGCCCCCACAGTCTGAACGCCTGGAAGAGGCTATTCGACATACTTCAATCGCGTTCTAACGAACATTTTTGTTTTACAGATAACATTAACGAGAACAATGCTTCTCCTGTCTAGTGACAGGTGGAAGTATTTACATTTTGCAGCGAGAAGGTCATTCACACATTCACCTTTACACTATATATATGGGACGATGGTACACGGTAGTCCTTAAAGAAAAATTAAGAAAATGTGGACTGGAGTTCAAAGAAGTAAAATCAGCAACCCGCTAATTACGTCTACGCCACAATAAGTCTCGTACTTATAAATTCTTATCAAGTAAATTGTTATTTGCCCTTAAAAAAATGAAATATGCTGTGAAATGTACATTGAATTAAGTTAGTGTCCGGACACCTTTAGGAATTTGATATTAGTATAAATTCTAAGATGTGTAAATCTACCAGTCCTCGATCACAAATCTGGTTGTCTATGTACAGTGCTAGTGCTATGCTGGTAATGCTGTACGTTATCAATTTCGTGATGGACAGTGAGTGAAGTGACTGAGTAGCCTGGGGTAGCCTGACAGTGTTCGGTTGTAACCTGCTCATACCACCACCGAATAAAACCGTTAGCCTGTCAAGTTGTTAAGCTTTGAACGACTAGGGGGTTTATATTTGACTATTTTAGGGAAATTTGTACCAGATCTTTGTTTACTCGCATGCAATCTCGCTCGTTTTTTGTTTTTGTATTTCTTTCATAAGATTTGTGAAGTATTTGCGGTCTTTACATTCTTTGTCATAGCATCTCGGTATGCAGACATATAAAAGCAATAAGATCCTCTCTGAGTGGCTCAACAACATTGTCCGCGGTAGGCTGGTGTATCAAATGAGCGCCGCACTGGAGTCGCAAAAACGAAATGATAAACGCGGTGGCGCCTAATTTAGTAAAATCGATACAATGCGCGCAGTGCTGCGATTCGATTAACAAGTTTTTCATCCGCTAGATAATATGCTGAGTACAGAGCTAATTCGATGACACATCTTTCACGAACTTCAACATGGTTTAACTCATTCCCGACAGGCAATGAAACACACTCCTGAGATGGGACGATTTGTTGGGCTGAATTAAATCCATATTTTTTGATACAATCAAAACTCGAAATTACTGACCTACGATAATAACAGGTGTACACGCGGAAGGATTCCTTGAAAGAAATTTCTCCAACATCTCTATGTATTTGATGGCAAACGTTGATTAAAGAATCCCAACCTATTTCCGACGCTTTTTCTCATTTCTTCAAGAATCTTGGCTGAAGTCGCATTCTTGGCTTGACGCCGCCATTTTGGATTTGCCATTATTTGCCAGGCGTCCTAGGCGAATTTTCCCGACAAGTTTGACAGGTGACGTCACATCCGAAATCGCCGAGGACGACTGGGAACGAGGCTGGTAAGTGATAAAAAACTTATCTTAACTTAGCTTAACTTGTCTAACATAATAGTGTAATGGAGACTTTATAAATACATGCCCAAATCCAATTTTAGGATGTTAAGAGGCAGTCTCCCTAAAAGCGTTCCACTCGATTTTGGACTCGAAAAAACTTTTGCCTCATATTTTTATCATCAACACTACTATCCATCCTAATAACGAAACTGCAGTTAGAATGAGGAAATTGTTTATTTTACTGCCATTCCCACCATTTCATTGCTGGACGACCGTTAGCGGCTAAAATATGCAAATTTTAGATGCCGTTTTACAGGTTTTTTAACGATCGTTTAAAAGTATTTCGGGTTATCAAATCCTAGACTATTGCACTCATTTGGAAGCATATTACTTCTTCTTACTGTTCCAATACCATTTAGGCATTATCTTTCTGTAATCAGCAAAAACTGGTCGTCTTTATTTCACTAACCCAATTAAGAAAGCAAGATGCACGAATAAATGCCTCAAAAACATCTCAAAATTCTCAAAAGTGGCACCTAAACTAGACCTAAAAACATGTTTTAGTTAAAGATTAATAGCTATTTTGTCAAGTTATGCAATAAAACTTGTGGCACAACGCGATTCAGAATTGAAGGATTCGACTTAAATTTGCATATTGATGCTGAATTCGCATTGCGTGACACGGGCCTTTGTGACAGTAAAAAAATTCTTCGTGATGCTACAAATGATAATTTTTCTTTTTTTTTTTTTACTTTATCAACAAGAAAAATCGTAAATAGGTTAAGCTTATAGAAGATTAAGTTTACTTTTCCACTGACCTTCGTATTAATAGTCTCAGCCGGCCGTCCTTTGTTCGACTCCCAGTAGTTGGCCTTCTTATTAGTAGAGTGGGTCAGGAAAAATACGCATTTCTCCCTACCCCACCCCTTCGCCCTTTTCTTACTGGCATCCCTCGGAGGGTCGCCCCCACAGTCTGAACGCCTGGAAGAGGCT